TGTTGCGTTTATTCTGGGCTCGCTTGCTTGCCTTTATATTAGTTATGTAGGCTATATTTTAATAATGAAGAGCATTGAGTTTGGTCTTTATCATCTTAGTCCATTACGCCACATTATGCCACGTTTTGCGGTGTGGGAGGAAAATACTATATACATATTCATTATATTAATAAACTGTATATTGAATTTGATATTTTAATAGCATCTTACATTAAGCCATGTTAAGTGTTTATGTTTTTCTACAAGAGGAAAACGCGCAACAAGAGACTTTGCGCATTGCGTTCATATTCTGCTGTTCTGCAGACCAGCGACGGATTTGCGGGTCTTCTCTTTTTCTTGCAGGACCCTGTACATTATAGTATAAAATTAGTTTTAATCGTTTAATCACCACCACAGCTTCTTGTCTCCATTGGCAACACGCACGATTTGTGTTGATTGCAAGTGATGTTGCAGGTATCGGAGAGTGCAAGTGCCGATTGCAAGTGACTTTGTAATTTAGTTTCTTTTTTCTTGTCTTCACCACCTGGCTACTGTTGTAAAATGTTGAGAGATTCAAACAAAAAGTAATCAATAAATAGAACAAAATAAAAAATAAAAAAGACTGCAAGTGACGTCGCTAGCGGAAGTGCAAGTGTCTGAGAGTGCAAGCCTGAGAATGCACATCTGAGAGTGCAAGCGCCAGGCTGCAGCCAGACCCTTTTGATTTTAGAAGCTGCCAAGAGAGGTCAGACAAGTTCATTTGTAACTAGGGAGGACAATTACCACTACACACACACACAATCCAAAATTTCAAAAATAATAAACTACACTTTAAAAAAAATCACTAGTTAGGTCACTAGTCCGAAGTCAACATTCATGGAGGAATTAGACACTTCACATCATTTTCATGTCTTTTAAAGAATTAAAACAGCACCTCTGTGATCCAGAATGAACAAAAACTCCACTGAGCTCCAAAGAGATGGAAGCTGCAGCATGTTTGCCATGAATCCACTTTAATCCAAGGCCAACCCAGATGCATAACTTGGTGTCAAGAGCGCAATCTTGGACATTAAGCAGTGGAAAAAGCAGTGTGGTCTGATGAGTCAGCTCTCATCCTATTTCATGCATTGGGAGAAAGTCATGAGAGGCCTTCGGTTCACATGTTGATCATCCACTGCTGCCCCAAGAATCACCAGATTAAAATATATGAACCTTTTGGGCAACTTCTGGAGCACAGAGTGCAGAAAAGATCTCCACTTTTTTTTTTCTGCAGAGACCTCAGGGTCCATTTAAAGCAGTGGTTCTCAACTGGATTTACACTGAAAATCAAGTGGTGGCCCAATGCAATACCAAACATTCATGCTACTCAAATGCTGCTCTCATTAAAGCAAAAAAGGAACAAACCAAATTAAGATATATAAGAACAGCATATATTCAAAATAGAAATCTTTTTAGTATAATTTTAATAGTAATTTCTTTAAAAAATAAAATAAAAGATTAAAAAAAAAAAAATGTAAATGTACTGACCCCAGACTTTTCGGTAGTGTTAATTGTTACAAAAGATTTCTATTTTGAATAAATGCTGTTCTTTTTACCTTTTAATTCATCAAAGAATCCTGAAAAAATGTGTCACAGGTTCCAAAAAATATTAAGCAACACAACTGTTTTCAACACTGATAATAAAACAGCATAAAAATATTTTTAGAATAATAGCTGATGAAAATTGCATCACAGGAATAAATTTTATTTTAAATTGCAATAATATTTCACAATATTATTATAATATCAATAATCACAATATCTGTATTTTTGATCAAATGAATAAGCAGAAGAGACTTAAAAAAAAATTTAAATTCTTACTGATACCAATCTTTTGAATGGCAGTACACACACACACACACACACACACAGTATATAGAAAATTTGACCTTTAATTCAAATTATGTTGATAATTTTTAATCAGAAATTATGTAGACATATAGTGCTGTGAATATGCATTCTCCCTCATTCTGATTTCTACTGTTTTTGTGTATATCTCATAATAAATTGTTTCAGAAATGAGAACTAAATCTAATATAAAACAAAGGCAACCTAAGCAAACACAAAATACAATTTTAAATGACAATATTAATTACTGAAGCAAAAGTGATCTAATACCACCTGGGCCTGTGTGAAAATGTATTTGCCCCTGTAATTACAAATTCCATATGAAGCTGCATTCATAATGGGGTTCAGCTGGATTAGACACAATCAGGTCTGATCACTGACAACCTTGTTTAATTAAATCAGCATTTAAATAGAACTTTTTCAACAGCATGAAGTTGGTTAAAATATCTTACCTGGTAATAATAATAATTCTTCCATTACATTTATATAGCGCTTTTCTAGGCACTCAAAGCGCTTTACATTGTCAGAGGGTATCTCCTCATCCACCACCATTGTGCAGCATCCACCTGGATGGTAACACACTATGCCAAAGGTGAAAGAAATTTCTGAAATGATGAGGAAGAAGCTGATTGAAATACATTCTGGGAAGGGTTCTCAACCGCGGCTGGATTATGCAGCAGGACAATAATCCAAAGCAGAGGAGTAAGTCCTATGAATGGCTCCAAAAAAGCAAAAGTTAAGTTTTGGAGTAGCCTAGTCAAAGTCATGACTTGAACCCAATTGAAACACTGTGGCATGAGACCTTAAGTTCATGCTTGAAAACCCTCCAATGTTTCCAAAGATTTGATTACCAAATTTGTCGTTTTATTATTTTGCACAATGAACAAACCAGGATAATTTTGTGTTTTGGGACACAAGTTATGAGATAGTTCATTATTGTTTTTCTGATCTCCACTCAATGGTTTCTGACTACTGAGTGGTCTTGGGCAGCCTGTAGACACCAGTGGACACAATAAGCTGGTGGGCCCTGACTTTCTTCTGCAGGAAAGCCTGCAGCTCATTCACATCCATCTCAGTGACCCCAGATCCGGCAGCCACAAACATTCGCAGCATGGAGTGGATCCTCTCCAAAGTCATGCTCTCCAGGTTAGTCAGCATGGCCTGAATGTAGGCCCAGAACAGCTGAGAAATAAGGGAAAACAGTTTAGCATTGTTTTAGCATTGCATGGCAAATAAAGGTCCTGAGCAGCGTTACATTGTTGCGTTATGACAAGAGTTGTAAGTGTATAAATCACCTGTAGTTTCTCTTCTCTCTGCTCAGACTGTGTTGCGGTGTTGGAGTCTCCCTCCTCATCACTGTCTATGAGCATGACACTTCTGTCAGATCTCTCTCTGCAAGAGCTTGTCTCCTGAACAGTATATCGACCTCCGGCTTCCTCCTGCAGCACGCCCTGCTGCTGCCACAGCGCCAACTTCCTGCGCACCATCTCTTGTGGCACACTTAGGACACTACTCAGCTCTTCCAAAGTCCATGTGCCTAATGAAGGAAAACAAATAGTAATGGGAATTCAAGCCAACAAATAATCAAGATTGTGGCATTCATTCGCACACTAGGTAGTGCACATGCTCATAATGCATAAGACTGCTGCAGGTATATTTTTAGTTCAAAACCTGGAAACCAGTACAGGGAAATAAGGTCTGTGGTTAACACAATATCAAAGTATTTTCATGTTTTATTCTACTACATAAAATACACCAGTAATAACGTTATTAACAAGTGCAACTAAATGGAACTCTAGAGGTTGTCAGGGACATTACGTGATATCACGCCAAACAAGAAAAATAGTCTACCCAGTTGTCCGCTTTCACACACTTTTTGTGTTTCTAATCAAAGTTTTGCAAACTTTTTTACCTCAAGCTTTCAGGGCAAATGTTTGGTCGGAAGCATAGTGATGGTGACATTGAACCTGATTGTATTTAGGTTTCAAAATTTGAAGATTATCACAATGAACAAAATGTGTAAGAATCATCATCAAATTTTGTTGGTCACAGAGCTATTTTTCCAATGGAAAAACCCTATAAAATTTTCTGTTGAGGGAACCAGGGGTTGGCCTATTTTGGTTTGAGTCTGGTCCGTGTCTGATCCCATTCCCATTGATTTCTCCCAAATAGTTCCATGTTGCATAAAGTATTCAAATCCTAGCAAAGTCTCATAAAGGCATCAAAAGTCAGAGTGTATTGACTGTATTGTTGTTCAGCCAAAATGGGTGAAAAAAATATTTTGGCGAATTAATTCTTCACACCTTTGTCCTGGAAGTGTAAAATGACGGAAGCATGGATGGGAGTCACTGTGAGGTTTGCGATGGTTCTGTTCTCCAGCTCCAAATCCAGCGTAACAGAACCCAGGTGAGGCTTCCACCTCAGAGTCCTCATTGCCTGCAAAATAATAAAAAGCATTTTGGTAACACTTTAGTATAGGGACCATTTCTCACTAGTTGCATATTAGCATGCTGGCTGTTTAATAGTTCTTATAAAGCACATATTCTGCATAACCATATTCTGCATCCCTAATCCTACCCAGTACCTAAACTTAACTACCTTACTAAATATTAACAAGCAGCAAATTAGGAGTTTATTGAGGCAAAAGTCGTAGTTAATGGTTTGTTAATAGTGAGAATTGCACTTTCAAATAAAGTGTGACCAGCATTTTCAGCAGAACATTGGAATAAAGAAAATTCAATGGCATGATTTAGAAATCATGAAGAACTGAAGAATCTAAACAAACTCTTGTCACTGCCTTGGGTGAACACTTGATGCTCAACATAGTATCTGGGTCTTACCACAAAACCAGTTGAGAACCAATGGACTGGGAGTACCTTGAGTTTTTCAAAGCGGTGTGTGTAGTCCTCCATGGCTTTAGAGACGACTGCAGGCAGTTCCATCTTCTCCTCCTTCAGCTGGGGCCAGAACTCAGATGAGATGATCATGGAAGACAGCGGTAATGTAGACTGCTCCTCTACAGGAAGACGACTCTCTTCCTCACGAATATTAGCGTTGATCCGCCGAGAGTCTGCTACATCCTGCAGAGAAAGACAGACACATTCAATAATATAAATAGCTCCCGTAATGGAAGTAAATCCATTTCAGGTCACATTTCATGATAACAGGATAACTAAGAGAAGTATACAGTGGGTACGGAAAGTATTCAGACCCCCTTAAATTTTTCACTCTTTGTTATATTGCAGCCATTTGCTAAAATCATTTAAGTTAATTTTTTTTCCTCATTAATGTACACACAGCACCCCATATTGACAGAAAAAGGGGGTCTGAATACTTTCCGTACCCACTGTATATGTGGACTAGAGCTGAGAAAATCGCGAAACATACCTTTAACATCACCTCACAGTAATGCATGTGGGACTCGCCAAACCTCAGTTTCAGCAGCTCTACATTGCGAATCTCTCTATAAAAACAAATACAGAGGGAATTAAAGTACACAAGTACTGTACTGTACATAATAAAAACCTAGTAAACAAACAGCACTTCTCATTCTCTTTTGCTTTAAAATGTCTTTAATCTTTTGTTATAGATCATTATAATATGAAATCATTAATTAAATTTCCAAACACTTCTAAATATTAAAAAAGCAGTGTATAAAAGGAGAGCCTATCAATAGTCGGTTAAATTTTCAAAAACTACAAAAAGATTAAAAAGAAGTCTTTACTCAATGATTTCAAAATATTTGAAATATATATGTCATTATATTTGAAAACATACCATATTTATTTATTTTACTTTTATTTGTATTCATACTATTTATTGTATCTGTCCTATTTGTAGACTGTTTGTAATGTTGTGAACTCTCAATAAAATTTGATCACAATCAATGCAAAGCAAAGTAAAGAGGCTGTTATTGAAGGACGGAGCAGTGCAAACTATTTTGGACTGCAACAACAAACCAGCAGTCAGTGAGCAAGCATTTATATTATTTCGATCATAACAAAGGGTGTTCACACATGTCTTAAAGCTACAGCAGCAAAAACGATTTGAGAGGATGATATGACTGCTTTAAACCAAACCAAAGTTAAGATGCAAACCTACCAACCAAATTTGTTTAAGTACCATTAGTGTGGCCGGGGGGCTTCACACTGAGGTTGCAAGATTTAATGTTAAATATTTTTTATAGGTTAATAATCAGGGTCTGCACTCAGGTTGTGATATTCCTGCCATACAGTATTTTAGAGTAAAAAGTAGGGATGCAACAATACAGTTAGCCCATGGTTCAATAAATACCTCCATTTTTTTATTTTTTTACCACAGTTTTTGGTTTAGTTATTTTTGGCTATTTTTAAATGCTATTTAAAAACAAGAAGTATTATTTTTATGGATTGGCCATTATTTAGTGCTATGAACATGTAATGTGTGTTTCATTCACACTGGATGCCTGAGGGCGCCCTCGCGCAGAAAATCCACATATACATTATAGAAGAAATAGAACTCAGGACTCGCCAGAAAACCCCTAATATGGACAAAAACAGCCAGCTATCGTTGTAACTGAATAAAAGAAGACAGAAATGCTTTGAATGATGACATTTAAAAAGAACATTAAGATAATAAACACTGTACTGCGACAATGTTTATCTGTGTTCTTAAAACCACCTTGAGTATTTTAATAATTAAGTATTGTAATATTTATAATCCACTGCTAATCGACTATTATTATAGTATTATTATACCGTTATTCCAGTGTAGAATTTATTTCTGCGTCATTCTGTGATAAGAAGCCACATCAGATCAAGAGGGAAATTATTTTAAATATTTGTCTGATGTTGTGCAGTAAAATAATGTTATAATGTTCTTTTTTGTTGTTGGACAAAAGGTTTAGTCATTACAAGGGAAGATGCTCGGCATGTGTTGCTTTTTCAGATACAGGCGTTTCCTCATCTCAGCGTGCAGACTCACGGACACACAAACAGAGCCAGCTTGGAGAGAAATAAAACGCAAGGAAATTTAAAAGCAAAACCTACAAAAAACACTCTGATTGGTTGAACTATTCATCTTTTTCTGTTGCTTGTTTTGAATACTGCACGTGGACAGAGGCGTCACCAGGTTTTTTGTGTAGTTTAGAGCAGTGGTTCCCAACCCTGGTCCTGGAGGCACCCCAACACTACACATTTTGCATGTCTCCTTTCTCTGACACACCAATTTCAGGTCTTGGAGTCTCTACTAATGAGCTGATGACCTGAATCAGGTGTGTTTGATTAAGGAGACATGCAAACCGTGCAGTGTGGGGGTGCCTCCAGGACCAGGGTTGGGAACCACAGGTTTAGAGTAACAAATCGTACCAGCGTACTTTGAGGTCAAAATGCGTATCCGCTACGCAAAATGCGTACAGGTTGGCAGGTCTGAAGATGATTCAAGAGCATTAAGTGAAGGTTTATAGAGGGAAAAGTGTATATGTTCATGTGTGCAAGGTGGGTTACTTGGCTGTGTTGTAGTTGAGCTGATGCAGAAGTCGGTCAGCCAGTACAGTCTTGTACTCATTAATGAAGATCTCTTTACTTCCATAAATGCTGACCAGCAGACTGATGATGTCAGAAGAGCGCCGTTTAGAGCCAGTTTTATCTACAGAGAGAAGACAGTGAGAGAGAACTGAAATGTTGATTACCTGTTAGGACCCAAATTTCTTTGACTGCAGACTGCATTCACTTATGTATTCTGTATTGACTGTATTCTACACCCATGCGAATGGCTGGTAAATTTGACAGAAATATTCCACCAGAAATATCTTAAACTAGCCATGAAACTGCATTTAACATTATTTATTTTCATTTAGCATTATTCATATTAAATATATTTTATAAATACTTTTATTCAGCAAAGAATCCTGAATAAATGTGTCACAAATTCCTCAAAATAAAAATAAATAAATAAGTAAATAAATAAATAAAATTAAAAAAACAGCTGACAGTTAACACTAACCTGTGAGAGCATCAGTGGGATCTGGGGTCCAGTCCTCTGGATCACTCCCCTCATCTTCACTATCCTGTGTCTCCAAGGTAACAGGGTCAGCTCGAGAGAGCTCATTGGCTAGATCAGTACAACCCTCTGCATCACCCGTCAGACTGCCCACTATCTGACGCACAGTGTCCTCACGCGTTCTGTAATTTCCAACATTACAACAAAGAATTAACTACTTCAGTAATGGAACTGGTTTACAAACAAGCACAACTATCTTGAGACACGCAGCCCCACTGACCTGAGATATCTGCGAATGGGTTGGCAGGCCACTTGCAAGATCACCATAGAGGGGTCGAGCTCTCTTAGAGCTTTGATGGCAGAGATGTAAACAGTGATAATGTCAGATGTGTGGACTCCTGAAGTGGGAAAAGAAAACATGATGAAAGTCAAAACATTTTCACACATGAGTATTTAGCAATGTCTTGAATCACTGACCTGGATGCAGCAGTCGTGTTTCAAAGGCTGATTTGAGGGAGGCAAGAAGCTGCTGTCTCTGATTGGTCCGTTGCAGACAGAACTTAAGATCCTCAATGGCAGGAATGGACTCTGGAAAATCTGCAACAATTAAGCAGAAATACATTTCCTATGAAACAACCAAGATGAGACTACATGTAGTCTACATTAATGGAGTTTCGTTCTCACCTCGTATGATACTGAAGAGCTCCTCGATCCTCATGTTTACGTAGATACGGCAGAAGAACTGGTGCATGTGACAGTGCCAGCGCTGGAGGAGAGCATTGGCTGGCTGGCCATCTGTAGGTGTGGCATCACTGCCTACCTCTTCCACCTTACTGGCAAACACCCTGCTCAGCCATCCCAAAACCTGCCCCAACCACTGGAAATGCAGGGATTTATTAGTGTTATTTTAGATGAGCTTCCATCAATAAGACTAAACACAAATTCTTAATTAACAGCATTTTAAATGGACACTTTAAGCTTGAATATTAAAATGTAAAAACAAAAACCAAATCCACCATATGCTTGAAGCTAATTAGCTCAAAATCTTTCTTATGCTCACCAATGAAAACAAACGACTAAGAAAATTTAATCAATTTATGTTATGATTTTGGCAGCTTTTTATTTTACAGTCCTGTTTTATAGACACATATTATGTACTTGCAAAAGTTATTACAATGACTAGATAATAATTATGTAATGACCCTGATCCTAAAGTCAATTTAAATTAGTTACCTTGTATTACTCAGGACTTTCTTGGTTAAGTACACTTTATATAAGCATAGTTTAAAATGAAGTGCAGCTATGATTCTTACGATTGACTGTTTCTTAACCAATCAACCATTTTAAATAGAAAATTTCTCACTAATTTGTGTAGTGGAATAAAAAATGTTTATATTATTATCTTCGTACATCTAGACCAGTGTTTCCCAACCTTTTTTCAGTCGCGGCACCCTTTGGAAATTTTAACAAACTTGTGGCACCCTACAAAATTAATTTTGTCACAATATTAAAATTTCTATCTTCGTTATGATAATTTGAAAAGTATAGATATTCGGTACAACAGGGAAGAACTGCAGAATATAATGTCATACAGATATTTTTAATATTATTAAAAAATTTTGTCCATCAATGGTGGCAATCAGTAGGCTAATTTCTAATGAAGAGACCAATTTATATGACAGATTTTAATGTAGGCTTTTACCTTCGAATTAAATAAATTGCTTTTTAGTTTTTCAGGTAGATCTAACATTAGGGTTAAGATATTAAACCTTTTTTTTTTTTTTACCAATTATCCAAATAATGTTTAGTCCTAGAAAGCTATTATTATCAGAACACGTGAGTATAACATAGCAGTTAGCAGATCATTGAATGAGAGGGCAGCGTTACCAGAGATGCCCATATACCACACCATCGAACATTTTAGCAATTTAAAAATATTAAAAAAATATTTTTTTACAGGGCACCCCTGCTCTCGACAGATGGCACCCCGGTTGGGAAACACTGATCTAGACAACCCCTACCCCATATTTATGGGGTCTATTATGTACGACTGCTGCTCATACTTTGGGTTCGGGATCTGCTGAACATCCCCAAACCCCTAATAAAAAAACCTGTAGTGTTTTTACAGATGTATAACCTTTCAAAAGATCAAAAGTTAATGTAATGATATAAATTATCATTATTTAAACCTGCCACACATCAGAATTTGCACACACTTCAAGTCAAATTGGCAGAGGTTTTGTGCTGATAAATCAACCTCATTTCAAATCTACATGGATCAAGTTATACATTTCGGACTCTTAATGGAATTTTTACATAAATTTAAATCCTTGTGCATAATTCTAAGCATCAACATTGGCGATCATATAAAATTAAACAGCTTCTACTGTGTAACTGGATGAAAAGTGTATACATCATTGAAGTCTGTGAGAAAAGAGCTCTCGTATTCTCCCCTGCAGCGCTGCTTGATCCTCTGCTCTATCAGCTGGTGCAGGATGCTGGTCACGGCCTCTGAGCTCACACGCTCCAACAGCTGTAGTGTGGAGCTGAAATGAACATTATAAGATATTAGATAAGACATCTTCATAAGACATTTGTGAAGACATTATATATCCTAGCAATCCACCTCTCCAACAAAGTATTTGATATTCTTCTAAATGTTACTGTTATGCAGTAATAACTGTGGATGTCTATGAATGTTAGCACACATATTCATGTTTTATGCTATTGAGTATATAAGAATTTTGAAGTTAACTTTTTGAGTCCATTTCATTAGATAAATATTGTAAATACTTCTCTATAAATAAAATCAATCCATAGCGCTATTGTCTGTTGTTATACCGATTAAGATATGAAACAAAAACGTTTTGCACTGAGCACATTGCTTCTCCTGTTGTTGGACACAGAACATCTCTTTTAATGTGTAAAATATAACATACTATATAAAATACTACTGGGAATACTGCATGCTATTACAATCTGTTTTGGAAAGCTTTTTTAGTAGTAAACAGTATGTACTGTATAATATGCTGCATGCTAGTATTCCATTCCAAACATTGCCACAATTTAACTTATACAGACATACAGCACTCTTACACCACAGCAACATTATGTAAGTAGTGACTAAACAACAAAGGAAAGGGCAGCATCTGTAGTATTATCAGAATGGTACTTCTCTTCAACTCACAGTATGTGGCTGAGCTCTTGAAGCTGCTCTAGAGCTTCCTGACACCAACACAGGTGAGGGAGGACGGCACAGCCCGGGCACAAACCACCTTCATCATGATCCGCTGTGCCCTCCTCAGCCTCCACAGCTTCCCCTGCCTGACTCATGTGCACGGAGAAAGTGCGGCTGTAAAACTCCAACACACGCTCTTGCAGCACAGGTGGAGGGGAGAACAGAAGAATGGCACGAATGACAGAGAAAGCTCTCTCTGTCAGACCACGGGTCCCTGGACCAGACAGACCTCCACGGCTCTTATCCTGCCATGAGCCCAGTCTCTCAAGACCATCTTGAAAAATAAAAGAGGGAGAGTAATATTAACACAGTAGACTCAAGAAACACTGGGCAGGATGAATCTCACAAAGAAAAATCAGGTCACAATTCCCTCTGAAAATCAAAAATAAAAATTATTAATAAATACATTAAGACATCTGAACTTTCTAGATTTAAGAAAATACAACTTACCACAGAACTCATTTTAATTCATTCATTTTACAAAAACAATAGCTCAAAACTTGAATAGCTCTGCTCACAAATACTAAAATATGGAAATAACTTTTACTGTACCCTCTTATCACAATGCAAAAAAGTGATCTTCTTGAACTTTTCCAGTTCAAATGTCTAAAGATTCATAAATCAAGATACATTTACTTGTTTTCAATTAATCAAGTTTATAATTTAAAGTTTTCATACCCCACTGACAGATACTTACCCAGCGGGTAAAAGAAGTATTGAACACATCACGATTTTTCTCAGTAAATATATTTCTAAAGGTGCTGTTGACATGAAATTTTCACCAGATGTCGGTAACAACCCAAGTAATCCATACATACAAATAAAGCAAAACAAATAAGTTCAGAAATTAAGTTCTGTGTAATAAAGTAGAATGACACAGGGAAAAACGTATTGAACACAAAGAAAGGGAGGTGCAAAAAGGCATGCAAAGCCAAGACACCAGCTGAAATCTATCAGTAATTAGAAAGCAATCCTGCCCCTTGTCAGTGGAAATTAATATTAGTTCATTAATATTGGTTGGTTCAGTCCCAGCTGATGGCCTATAAAAAGGTGTCTCATGACCAACGTGTCGCACAAGAAACATTTCATGATGGGTAAAACCAAAGAGCTTTCTCAAGACCTTCGCAACCTTATTGTTGCAAAACATACTGATAGCATTGGTTACAGAAGCATTTCTATACTTCTGAATGTTCCAGTGAGCACTGGGCCATAATCCGGAAGTGGAAAGAACATAATTTCACCATAAACCGGCCACGACCAGGTGCTCCTCACAAGATTTCTGACAGAGGAGTGAAAAGAATTATCAGAAGAGTTGTCCAAGAGCCAAGGATCACTTGTGGAGAGCTTCAGAAAGACCTGGAATTAGCAGGTACAATTGTACCAAAGAAAATAATAAGTACAAGTAAGTAATACACTCAACCGCCGTGGCCTGTATGCATGCTCACCACGCAAGGCTCTTTTGCTGAAGAAAAAGCATGTTGAAGCTCATTTAAAGTTTGCTGCACAACATTTAGACAAGACTGTGAAATACTGGGAGAATATAGTCTGGTCAGATGAGACAAAAATTGTACTCTTTGGATGCCGTAATCATTCGTGATAAAAATCTGCTGCCATCTACCAGGATGATGAAGATTAAACTAGGGTGGACATTTCAGCAAGACAATGATCCCAAACACGCAGCCAAGGAAACTCTCAATTGGTTTCAGAGAAAGAAGAAGGAAAATCTAGAATGGCCCAGCCAATCACCTGACTTGAATCCAATAGAAAATCTATGGATAGAACTAAGAACTAAAGTTCATAGAAGAGGCCCATGGAATCTTCAAGATTTGAAGACATTTGTTTGTGTGGAAGAATGGGCCAAAATCACACCTGAGCAATGCATGCGACTAGTTTCTCCATACAGGAGGCGTCTTGAAGCTGTCATTAACAACAAAGGCTTTTGTACGAAGTATTAAATACATTTAATACATTTCGTTCAATACTTTTTCCGTGGGTCATTCCATTTTATTACACAGAACTTCATTTCTGAACTTTCTGAACTTATTTTCTTTGTATGTGTGGGTTACTTGGGTTGTTACCGACATCTGGTGAAAATGTCAAGTCAACAGCACCTTTACAAATATATTTACTGAGAAAAATTGTGATGTGTTCAATACTTATTTTACCCGCTGTATGTCATGCTTTCACTGGCTGTGTAGTTTGTTTCTGAACGTCAGAATTAGCCTTTGTCATGATAAAATGTGTTTAAAAAATGACTTAACCGTTTGGTGCTGTTTGGACATTTTTGACTGAAAAATGTTATATTTTGTTTTTTAAGGTTTTTTTTTGCTTCATTGGAATGGTGCAAAACTTGGTAAAGGTTTTGGCACTTAGACATGATGTGAAACAGTTAAATGGTTCTTAAAAAAGTCACACTTCTACTGTTTGTGCTCAAAATTGATGGCATTGGAAATGAATGGGGGGTGATTTTATCTAGTAGAAACTTTTGGTACTGTGGCCAAACTAAATCTTACTGAAAGCTCTTTTTTTTTAGATATCAACCTCAAATTTCAAACACAACCAGTTTAGATTTATGGCTTTGATTTTCTCACAGATTTAGAGTAAAACACATTAGGAAAATATATATTTTGAAAATGAAAACAGTTTGGAAATTCTGAAAATAGCAACTTTTTGTTTCAAGTTTTTTTCCCCCAGCAATAATCCACCAAGTGTCTTCTTTAAAAAGAGACCAAACTTAAGTCTGTCTCAAAAGCATTCAAGATTTATGACAGTTGGAAATGTGATTTTCAGGCCTATGCTCTACAAGTGGTAAAAATAAATGGATAATAAATAGATTATAACTACTGCATAAATACAATTTAGTACCATACAATCCCCCCAAAAAATACAAAATATTGAATAACAAAACATTGAACTAATATAGTATATCCATTTCATTGAAAAAAAGGTCATTTTTGACCACTGTGTGAACAGCAGCAGTAAATAAATGAATCCGAGAAAACACCATGAAGTCCGTATCCTGTGTGACGAGTGTGATGTCATACACGAGCCTTGGATATCAGTGCAACTACAAACCACAAAACACACACTTCTGTGCCACTTCAGTCTCAACCACATCAGCGTAGTTACATGTGTGCTGCTGTGTGTTCGTCTGGTGACGAGCGTGAGCCGTCTGTCGCTCATGGGGAAGCAGACATACATTCATGAGTTCACATGCTGGAGTGAACAGAAGCGAGAGACGAACTGTTTCTGAGCAATACTGTTCCTCACACACAGCTGCTTCTGGCTTCAGCAGTCACTCGACTGTTATCATGCTGCTTCTCAAGTCCTCACTCTCAACATGACTGCTGTGTTTGACTGAATGACAAACTCCTGCATTATACAGCATGTGCAACGTCAACCTGAAGACCTTACTGTAAACTGACTGAAATATCAGAACGACTCATTTCAAACATATCAAATTAGATCTGAGGGAAGTCCGAGTAGTACAGCAATGCAACATGGGTTTCCAGGACCTGATGGAAACACTGGTCGTTCATTGACTCTAAACTTATGTTTATGAAGCAAGATTCAGAGTAAATTCACAGGTGAACACTGCTGTTCTGTGGAGCTTTCTTTAGGGAAAGGGGAGGTATTTGATATTTTGTGAAGGAAGCTTTGAGAGTGTGATTGAGGAGAAGGCAGCAGGAGAGCATCAGAGACACACTCAAGCAGCCGTACGGCAGTGAAAGCAAAGCCTCCGTCCATCAGCATGATCAGATTAGTCTCGAGTTCAGCAGAACCTGAGACAGGTTTGATTACGTCAGCTCTGATGACAGCAAGACACAGACACTGACGCAGAGCTGCAGAGTTCAGTCTGAATCCACTCCACACCTTCCAGTCATTTACAGAACCGCTCCAGCTGTGTTTGATTGGATCTGGTCTGACTGAACATCAGATCATCAGAACATCAGATCATGAGATCATCAGATCATCAGAACATCAGGTCATGAGATCAGATCATCAGATCATCAGAACATCAGGTCATGAGATCAGATCATCAGATCATCAGAACATCAGGTCATGAGATCAGATCATCAGATCATCAGAACATCAGGTCATGAGATCAGATCATCAGATCATCAGAACATCAG